AATAATAATAATAAGAAGAATAATAGGCAGTGCAAATGTAGATATATACATACATACATATTAGAGGTAGTGCAAATGAGAGGTAGAGGTATATTTGCAGGAAAAAACTTCACATTATTTCACTGTATTAAGTGATAGAATGGTGTAACTGCCAGGAAACTTACGCTCCATAAAGTAGGGCCCGGGCTCCAGCCTCCAAACAATCTGACCCTTCTGGGTGCCATTCACCCCTCTGTTCTTACAGTCCCACACGTTGGAAGGACTAGTTTCATCTGTAGAAGAGGAAAACTGTTAGTTACAGCAGATACGGCCATTTGTTAACTCTAAGGTTCGACAAAACACGCTGTTGCTGTGTTGATTTTAGACCAGAGAAATGTTAAATTAAACAACAGATGCCAGTGTTTGAGCTCTGGATTGTGTTCTTCCAAAACTGCAAGCGAGCTGCATCTGTTCCGCCTTTCGGTATGTTTAGTCTGCGGACGCTGTCTTCCAAAACACAAGTTTGCCTTTAATCAGTGAAATCCATTCCCAAAATAGCCTCCCTGCAACCTCTAACCAGAAGGACAAACTCCAAACTTCCTCTGAGTTAAAAACAGGGAGGGGGAATTCCGCTGTACGTAGCACTTTTGCACACAGATTAATGAAGCGCCGAACGCAGCTGACTGGTGGAGAGAGTCCGGGGAGGAGTGTGTGTCTCATACGTGTGCATGAGCATGCGTGTGTGTGTGAGTCTGAAGGGGAGTCGAGGAAGGGAGGACAGGTTGCTTATCATTGAATGTCTGCTTAGTCGAGGAAAGTGGGAGCTCCTCTGGGGCATAAGACCCTGGAGCAGGTAATGAAGTCCTGGCGGCCTTATGATCGATACCAAGTGACCTGACGCCCCGCTCGGCACCAGCAGTTTACACTGTCTCCTCTCCTCAAACAGTGTTCTTACCTACCAGGGAAACGTCTGGGAAAAGTTAATCAGCTAATCCAGGTGGGTTAAGTCCTGGAGGTCAATAGGAATGATACTAATCAGTGGGTAAATTAGTTTTTAAAAAAGTACACTCTTATAGCAGTAATTGCGTGGCGTTTAGAGTCAATCGCTGCCTGTTGTACTGTAGGTGTGTTTGACCTTTTGGAAGTCAAAGGCACCCATTGTTTTCAAAAATCCATTATCCATTACTAACACAATACATCATGCCGAACAGCTCACATGTTGGAATTGTCCCTGAACGTCACTGCATTCCACCAGTAATTATCTAGTGCGTGGAGGCAACTTTCATTTTTTGCTTCAGTGAACAATGAAAAGGCAAATTTATGAACTTGGCAGTGATCTCCACATGTTTAACTTTGTCGGACTGGAGCAACACTGGAAAGAAAAAAAAGTTGGGAGAAAAAACACGGCGTTGGTTGGTAAACTGTCTGCACTTATACAGAGCCTGTCAGTCT